AGAAGCAGCGAATCGTGACCTGCACACGCGCAGACGTGGCTTGTGTTCTGCTCATGTTGTGAATGGGCCTCCAGAACGGATCCCGTTCGCAACCAGAGGTACCACTGTACTACATTTTTTAAAGAATTGCCTTGAGTGAGTCTTTAAGCCTCTTTTGTGGACCGCCACCATTGTGCTTTCCATTTATAAGTTCAGAATAGAGTAGTTGCTTTGGAAGACGATAATCAGGCATCCGAACAAGATGACCAGTCCAACAAAGTTGATGTTGAAGAATCATTGCTTCGACACTGGTGATATTTGCTTCTTCCAGTACACTGGCATTAGTTCGCCTGTCTTCCCAAGTGATGTGTAAAAATTTTCGGAGACACCGTTGATGGAATCTTTCGAGGAGTTGGAGATGGCATTTATAAGTGGTCCATGTTTCACAAGCATGCAGTACGTTTGGTGGTGCAATAGCTTTGTAATCAAGCATTTTGGTTTCCCTGTGAATGTACGGCCAACCGCCTTTGTAGAAGCATATGTCTGTCTCCTCATTGCTGTGCTGAGAGGGATGGATCCAAATGTACCTGCTGACAAAAGAAAGCAGAATTATCCACTCCACCCATTAAAGGTACCCCTGCCCGTATGGGCTAGTCTTGCCAGACTCTAGGGTTGTGCGCCCATCTCACTCTATAGGCCGGGGGCCAGCGCTGTCCGGAGACACTTCCGGGTCACGTGGCCAGCGTGACATCGCTGCTCTGGCAAGCCAGAGCCGCACACGGAAACGCCGTTTACCTTCCCGCTTGTAAGCGGTCCCTATTTATCTACTTGCACCCGGGGGTGCTTTCGAACTGCTAGGTTGGCAGGCGCTGGGACCGAACGACGGGAGCGCACCCCGCCGCGGGGATTCGAACCGCCGACCTTTCGATCGGCAAGCCCTAGGCGCTGAGGCTTTTACCCACAGCGCCACCCGCGTCCCTACTCCACCCATTAGGGCTGGATATTGATATATCCCACACTTTTTTTCAGCCAAAACTCACCGGAACTCAGTTCCAGCACCTCTCAGGTGGGCACTGTTGCCATTCTCAAAGGGAAGTGATCATGGTGAGTTCTGGCACATCTTTTCCCCAAAAAAGATATCGTCCAAAACCGGTTAGAAGTCTGTATCATGATATTGATTCCATCTCTGCAAATTGTCTGCCGATTGCAGCTCAGGAAAGCAAACTACAGCCGTAGATAGGTTCGCGAACGTAATCTGTTCCCAGAAGTCCGTTCGACTTCTGAAAATGTTCGAAATCAAGGTTTGGCTTCCGCTGGGCTGCAGGAAGTTCTGCCTCCCAAAAACGTTCAGAAACTGGAACACTTTTGGCGTTCGGGAGCCAAAGCGTACAAGTAACAAGGCATTCAGGGACACGGGTAGCGCTGTGGCCTAGGACTTGCCAATCAAAAGGTCGGCAGTTCAAATCCCCGCAATGACGGGGTGAGCTCCCGTTGCTCGGTCCCTGCTCCTGCCATCCTAGCAGTTCGAAAGCATGTCAAAGTGCAAGTAGATAAATAGGTACTGCTCCGGCGGGAAGGTAAAACGGCGTTTCCGTGCGCTGCTCTGGTTTGCCAGAAGCGGCTTAGTCCTGCTGGCCACATGACCCAGAAACTGTACGCCAGCTCCCTTGGCCAGTAAAGCGAGATGAGCGCCGCAACCCCAGAGTCAGTCACGACTGGACCTAATGGACAGGGGTCCCTTTACCTTTACTATCAACCAGTCAACACAGTTTTGCAAGGCAATTTCCCCATATACAACGGACCTTTGCATGTTACTTTTGCAGATGTTAGCATTTTAAAGCACACTGTGGTCTTAACCACTGAGCCTAGGGCTTGCCAATCAGAAGGTCGGCGGTTCGAATCCCCGCGACGAGGTGAGCTCCCATTGCTCGGTCCCTGCTCCTGCCAACCTAGCAGTTCGAAAGCACATCAAAGTGCAAGTAAATAAATAGGTCCCGCTCCGGCGGGAAGGTAAACGGCGTTTCCGTGCGCTGCTCTGGTTCGCCAGAAGCGGCTTAGTCCTGCTGGCCACATGACCCAGAAAAACTGTCTGCGGACAAACGCTGGCTCCCTCGGCCATTAACGCGAGATGAGCACCGCAACCCCAGAGTTGTCCACGACTGGACTTAACGGTCAGGGGTCCCTTTACCTTTACTTACAAGGCATTCAAGAGCCAAGGTACAACTGTATGTGCTGAATTTTTTATTTTTTGGTGTGGGGAGTGTTAAGAGATATTCAGGAGGAGTCTTCCGGGAGCGGAAGTGAATGCAGCCGCCAGTCATCCTTTATACCACCCCATTGATGATAAACGGAAACTTTTACCACCTCGAGGATGATAACCTGAAACAACACAATCTCCGTGTGGGTCAACTGCATATTCCTGCATTGCAGGGGGTTAGATTAAAAGATCGTCAGGGTCCTTTTCAATTCTATAATTCTGTGATTCCATGATTCTTTCCCCAAGCCTTAATAGCAACCATTCTCCCGAGTTCCTCGTGAGTTGCTGCAGAGCCAAAGTCTCCCGATTCTCTGCTGCAGTCTCCATATGAAATGTTTGTGGTTTGTTCCTTTGCATTCATTGCGACGTGCGTCGCCAACACGTCCTCCGTTGTCTGGAAGCCGGCTTGCATTTATAATTGCATTTAATACCAACAGGTGGGGCCGACAGAAAAGGTCTCTGCCTTAGTTTTGTTTTCAAAGGAACGGCATTCAAATTTTTACATCTCCTGTATACAGGAGCTGGGCTTGTATACAAACAGCCTGCGGTTAAGTAACGAACAAAGCTGTTTTCGCTATTTCAAATTATCAAGTGTGGTTTGGTATGGGGGGGTGAAAATAAGGAATACAGTAGCCTTTCTGCAAGGCGTTGGAAAGATAGAGAAAGATACATGTCTAAACAGAACCAGTTTATCATCCATTGAAGCTGGATTGAGGGATGCGTCTCTGAACATCAAACCTGAATTTTGCAGTTCTGAATTTCCTGATCTTGTTCTGATGCTGTTAAAAACCTCCATCGTTCCTCACCTTCTCCTGAGGGAGACCGTTCCACTAATGAATGGTTCTTACCGCCATTCTTAAATTACCAGAAAGTCCCCCCCCCGATGTTTAGTCGGCTTCTCCTTTCTCGTAACTCGAAGCCCTTGGTTTGAGTCCTTCCTTCCAGGAGCAGGAGGGAGCGAACTTGCTCCATCTTCCCCAAATTTGGAACCCTCTCCTAACGTGTGCCAAACTGTTGCGGTTGTTTTGCAGCAGCCGACCAAGTTAGCGATTGGAACTCAAGCCTCATAGCTGTCACCCCAAACCCCAGCCTGGTCCGATTCACTCCAAAACAGGGTGTGGAAACAGTTTTGCAGCCCAAAACCAGATATATAGTGGTACCTTGGTTCTCAAACACCTTGGTTCCTGGAAATAAGTGTTCCAACATTTTATCATATGTGGTGGGAATGTAAAAAGGTGAAAAACTTCTGGGAGATGATATATAATGAGCTGAAAAAAATGTTGAAATATACATTTATTAAGAAACCAGAAGCATTTTTACTTGGCATTGTAGGAGATGGTAAAAACAGAAAGGATTATAAGTTGTTTTTATATGCAATGACGGCAACAAGAATATTATTGGCACAGAAATGGAAGCAAGAAGAATTACTGACAAAAGAAGAATGGAAGATGAAGTTAATGGACTATGCAGAATTGGATAAACTAACCGGAAGAATTCGAAACCTGCGGGACCAGAGATTCACAGAAGACTGGTGTAAATTTACGGACTATTTGAAAAGTAATTGTGATGACCAGATTACGTTTGTAGGTTTGCAAGAAGTTTTGTGAGGTAAATTATTTGAATTATTGCAAAAATGGTTAAAGAGGTGGATTGTGAGTTAAGATAATTAAAGGCAATAGGAATTTAAGAAATGCAGAAGAAATGATAAAAATGGTGGATCATCAGAGGTGTTGTTGGAAGTCCAAAAAGATTGTATAAGGTGTGAAGTTCTATGGAATGTATAATAATTGGTATGTTGAAATTAATAAAAATTATATATAAAAAAGAAAGGGAATAAGTGTTCCAGTTTTTGAACGTTTTTCGGAAACCAAACGTCCGATGCAGCTGTCGGCTATTGTTTCCGGGGCGCCTGCACCAATCAGAAGCCGTGCCTTTGTTTTCGAACATTTCGAAAGTCAAACGGACTTCTGGAACGGATTAAGTTTTTGCTATTTGTTTACCATTTTTGTTTCTGAGGCTTTTTCGGTTCATTTGTTTTCGTGGCTGTGTGGAACCCAGTTCAGCTACTGAGTGAGTGAGTGATTGTGGAAATGGATAAAAGCCCCCCATCCAAACAATGGCTATCATCAGTGCAGATAAGAAAAAATAATAACTTTAATTTTTATCATCTACCATACTATGTTATTTATTTTATAGTACAGTACATTGATTATTGCTTTCATTTTATGGATCAATGGTCTCGTTAGATAGCAAAATTCATGTTCAATTGCTGTTTCAGGGCTTGTTTTTAAAAGTCTGGAACGGATTAATCCGTTTTGCATTACTTTCTATGGGAAAGCATGCCTTGGTTTTGGAATGCTTTGGTTTTGGAACAGACTTCCGGAACAGATTAAGTTTGAGAACCAAGGCACCACTGTATGTGAAAGTATTGACTTTCAAGTTTCCCAAAGGGGGGGAGATATACCTTGAAGGAGTTCAGGAAATATAGCTGTATTGTTTTTAACACTCGATTGGGAGCCGTCCAGAGTGGCTGGGGAAACTCAGTCAGATGGGTGGGGTATAAATAACAAATTATTATAAATTATTATTATATCGAGCTCCTCCTCCCTCTGTAAAAATAAGGAGCGAACTTTGTGGCCACATGGGGAGTTGAACCCTGCTCTCCCAGATCTGACACTCTAACCACTACACCACGCTGCCTCGCCTCACATTTTCCCTGTTGTCTCTCTCTCACCTCGTTCTCTCTTTCCTCTTCTGTGGCCAGGATGGTGCTACCAGTGACCGAATGGATTTGGCGCCACGAATACTGGCTCCCGCCCGGGATCACCTGGGAGGACATGAAGGAGACAGAAGAGATCAGCTACCCTCAGCCCCGCCATCTCTTGCTTAGCCTGCCCCTGGCGCTCTTGCTTGTGGTGATCCGCTTCTTCTTCGAAAGGTACGTTACATCGGTGCAAGCTCTGACGAGCCTCCATGTTGAGGGGTAAAGGTAAAGGGACCCCTGACCATTAGGTCCAGTCGTGGCCGACTCCGGGGTTGCGGCGCTCATCTCGCTTTATTGGCCGAGGGAGCCGACGTACAGCTTCCAGGTCATGTGGCCAGCAGGACTAAGCCGCTTCTGGCGAACCAGAGCAGCGCACGGAAACGCTGTTTACCTTCCCGCCGGAGCGGTACCTATTTATCTACTTGCACTTTGATGTGCTAGGTTGGCAGGAGCAGGGACTGAGCAACGGGAGTTCACCCCGTCGCGGGGATTCGAACCACTGACCTTCTGATAGGCAAACCCTAGGCTCTGTGGTTTAACCCACAGCGCCACCTGCGTCCCTTATGTTCAGGGGTAAAGGTAAAGGGACCCCTGACCATTAGGTCCAGTCGTGGCCGACTCCAGGGTTGCGGCGCTCATCTCGCTTTATTGGCCGAGGGAGCCGGCGTACAGCTTCCGGGTCATGTGGCCAGCAGGACTAAGCCGCTTCTGGCAAACCAGAGCAGCGCACGGAAACGCCGTTTCCCTTCCCGCCGGAGCGGTACCTATTTATCTACTTGCACTTTGACGTGCATTCGAACTGCTAGGTTGGCAGGAGCAGGGACTGAGCAACGGGAGCTCACCCCGTCACGGGGATTCGAACTGCCGACCTTCTGATCGGCAAGCCCTAGGCTCTGTGGTTTAACCCACAGTGCCACCTGCGTCCCTTATGTTCTGGGGTAGCCTCCCTCTAAATACTAGTTTCTGGGGGCAGAGGGGGAAAACTGGTGGCGGAAAATTGTTGCCTTTGCACCTTGTTTGAGCCACCCAGCTGAAGGTCACTGGGGGGAAAGGTCCCTGAATCATTTTATTAGGATAAAAAAGGTAAAGGTAAAGGACCCCTGAGAGTTAAGTCCAGTTGCGGACGACTCTGGGGTTGTGGCGCTCATCTCGCTTTACTGGCCGAGGCAGCCGACGTTTGTCTGCAGACAGTTTTTCCGGGTCATGTGGCCAGCATGACTAAGCCGCTTCTGGCGAACCAGAGCAGCGCACGGAAACGCCGTTTACCTTCCCGCCGGAGTGGTACCTATTTATCTACTTGCACTTTGACATGCTTTTGAACTGCTAGGTTCGCAGGAGCTGGGACTATTCTCCAACTGAAGGGTTACATACACTTCAGGTTACAAACGCTTCAGGTTACAGACTCTGCTAACCCAGAAATAGTACCTCGGGTTAAGAACTTTGCTTCAGGATGAGAACAGAAATCGTGCTCTGGTGACACGGCGGCAGCAGGAGGCCCCATTAGCTAAAGTGGTGCTTCAGGTTAGGAACAGTTTCAGGTTAAGAACGGACCTCCAGAACGAATTAAGTACTTAACCCGAGGTACCACTGTAGTTGCTTTGGAAGACGATAACCAGGCATCCGCACAACGTGACCAGTCCAACGAAATTGACGTTGAAGAATCCTTCAACATGGGCGATCTTTGCTTCTTCCAAATCAAACGTTATAAGCTTCCCGGAACACGGCTGCCTTCATATGTCTATGAAAAATTATATAGTTGTGGAACTCTTTGACGTCTTCAGGGTGGGTGCCACTCCTTAAAACGCTTTCTAGTCTTGCCCCCTGTGGTTTCACCGTATCGTCTACACCAGGCAGGCCCAACTCCCAAACGACCGCAATGGACTCCCAGTATTAAAAAATACTGACAGCTATCTACCCATTGTCGTTGCCAAGAGTTGCCGAGCTTTTTTTGTTTTTGTTTTTTTATAAAATTTTTATTAGGGTTTTTACAATATTACAAAATAGAAAAAGAAAAAATACAAAATACAAAATAAAAATAGTTAAAAACAATCAATCTTTTCATCACTTATTTTTCATTTACTTGTTTCCCGGACCTCCTCATACCTCCCTTTTTTGTATTCCAGTTCAATTTATTGGCTCAGCAGTTTCTTTCCCTCTTTATTTTACCCAGATCTTTAATCTTAAATTATTATAACATTAAATTTTTACTTATAAAAAACCATTTTTTCATATTCTTTTATACCATTACAGCTAGAAACCACTTAATTTCAATCCAACATCATTCTAGCATTCATTAATTTTGCAATATCTCTGTAAATAGTCTTTAAATTTCTTCCAGTCTTCTTCCACCGACTCTTCTCCCTGGTCTCCGATTCTGCCAGTCATTTCCGCCAATTCCATGTAGTCCATCACCTTCATCTGCCATAGTTGCCGAGCTTTTTTTGGAGGGAGAGACCAAAGTTGTTTAGCTTTTGGGGGGAGGGGATCAACCTGCGATACAGACACCCCCGCGATCAACCTTTAGGACATGCCTGGTCTACACGGGCTGGCAGCGACTCTTTCAGAACATTTGTTGTTTTACTTCTGATGGCCAGCATCAATAATAATAATAATAATGATAATAATAATTTTATTTATACCTCTCCCTTCCCAGTTCAAAAATCGGGCTCAGGGCGGCTAACAACAAATGTAAAACACTTAATTATAAAAGCAGCATAAAATACAGTATATTGGGGAAAAAACAATAAAATTCAAAAATCAGTTTAGGGGAAATAAGCATTAGATAATCCCCAGGGCTAGCTGGCTGAATTGGTCCTACTTGGGCCGGCGAGGAGCCCAGGGGAGAATTAGCTGTGGGGTCTCAGAGCGGGTGATCTTCATAAAAGGGGAGGGGGAGGGAAGAGAAGGGAAATTAAAGATCAGGCTGAATTCAAATTAAAGGCCAGGCGGAATAGCTTTGGCTTACAGGCCCTGCGGAAGGAGCTTAAATCCTGCAGGGCCCTGGTCTCATGGGACAGAGTATTCCACCAGGTCGGAGCCATCACTGAGAAGGCCCTGGCCCTGGTGGAGGATAGTCTGACTATCAAGGCCTCTGACAGAGCCCCCAAACACCCCTGCAGGAGTCCCTGTGACAAGCCCTGTTCTGCACGACCCGGTTTTATCTCATGAAGTTTGCAGAAGGTGGAATTCTGGCTTTTGTGGGTATCCGGATTCAAAAGTGATGTTTCCGGGGACTGAAGAACCTTTGAAGCTGAAGTTTGGTTAACCGCCAGCATTCCTCAACATTCCTGGTCTATGAGGAGTCGTGCCACAACTTGCTGTCTGTGACTTCCACAAGGCACGGATAGCCAAGTGTTCCCAAACTATTTATCTACAAGCAATCCCTGGAAGCCTGGAGGATTGGGGTACGCTTTGTTCTGCGCCCCAATGAAGCGTACCCAGTCACCCTCGCTTCATAGCCAAGGTAATGACTATCCATGGCATGTTTAACCCTCAGTTGCAGAGCTGTCTCACCCAAACTAAGCCTCCTAGAGCAAAATACAGTGGTACCTCAGGTTACAGACGCTTCAGGTTACAGACTCCACTAACCCAGAAATATTACCTCGGGTTAAGAACTTTGCTTCAGGATGAGAACAGAAATCGCGCGGCGGCAGTGGGAGGCCCCATTAGCTAAAGTGGTACCTCAGGTTAAGAACAGTTTCAGGTTAAGAATGGACCTCCGCAACGAATTAAGTACTTAACCTGAGGTAAAGCAGAGACATCACCTTGCCAACAAAGGTCCGTATAGTTAAAGCTGTGGTTTTCCCAGTAGTGATGTATGGAAGTGAGAGCTGGACCATAAAGAAGGCTGAAGAATGGATGCTTTTGAATTCTGGTGCTGGAGGAGACTCTTGAGAGTCCCATGGACTGCAAGAAGATCAAAGCTATCCATTCTGAAGGAAATCAGCCCTGAGTGCTCACTGGAAGGACAGATCCTGAAGCTGAGGCTCCAAGACTTTGGCCACCTCATAAGAGGAGACTCCCTGGAAAAGACCCTGATGTTGGGAAAGATGGAGGGCACAAGGAGAAGGGGGCGACAGAGGACAAGATGGTGGGACAGTGTTCTCGAAGCTACCAGCATGAGTTTGACCAAACTGTGGGAGGCAGTGGAAGACAGGAGGGCCTGGCGTGCTCTGGTCCAGGGGGGGACCAATTTAAAATACAGGTTAAAATGCAGCCTCATTTTAAAAGTAGCCGATAAATCAAGACCATAAGAGGAGGGAAACATAAGGGTCAGACTGAGTCCAAACCAAAGGCCAGGCAGAACAGCTCTGTCTTGTCTCTTGTGACAGAGCGTTCCACCAAGTCGGGGCCAGTACTGAAAAGGCCCTGGACCTAGCTGAGACCAATCTAACCACCTTGAGACTTGGGACTTCGAAGATGTTGTCATTTGTGGACCTTAAGGTCCTCCATGCGGCATACCAGGAGAGGCGGTCCCATAGGTAATGATTTTATTATTTATACCGTTCCCATCTGTGTGGGACCGCTCTCAGCGTCTTCCAACACATATAAAACATCAAACGCTAAAAACCATACCAGAAGGCTTAGTTCGGTCAGAATCAGGTATACCTTGGTTGACAAACGCCTTAGCAGTTGAACGTTTTGGTTCCCAAACGGCGCAAACCCGGAAGTGAGTGTTCCGGTTTGTGAACGTTCTTTCAGAAGCTGAACGTCCGGCGGGGCTTCCGCGGATTCCAATTGGCTGCAGGAGCTTCCTGCAGCCAATTAGAAACTGGAGTTCAGTTTTTGAACGTTTTGGAAGTTGAATGGATTCCGTTCAGCTTCCAAGGTACGACCGTACATGACTTCTGGTAAACGAGCCACCATGGCCGCTAGAGGGCCGTGAAAATTTGTGTCCCGGCTTTTTAGACTCGTTTACCTATGTATTGGTCAAAATCATGAGTCTGACCAAGCTGCAGGAGGCAGTGGAAGACAGGAGTGCCTGGCGTGCTCTGGTCCAGGGGGTCATGAAGAGTCGGACACGACTGAACAGCTAAACAACAACCACCTATGTATTATCTGAAACAAAGGGTCGCATAGGTTGCCAGATGTGAAATATGTTGGCATTATGTTGGCTCTCCTACCCAAATATTCTGGATTAGTTGCAGTTTCCGAGTCACCTTCAAAGGTAGCCC